GAATAAACACTGAATAAATTTTACACAACCTTGGCATTACCTTACAGACGCGTGTGAATGCATTTTATCTCGGTAGGAATAACTCAGGAGATCGCTCGGTTACAATTTGTTACTTTTTGTTAAATTTAACTTCACGTGTGAATCGGGTATTAGTATGTGTGCTTTTATCCCGGTTTGGAGCCTTATCCAAGGTGTGCCAATACTCTAACCTACAGTAGGCAAGCTGGCATTTATGTAATCAATCTAAAATTTATTTTAGATTGATACCATAGATTGATAAGTCTGAGGCGATTCAATGAAATGATGGATATATTCCAACGACAAATGGCTAAGGCTGCCATTGACATTCAAAGACCTTGCATCGGGCAAACACTCAGACAGATTATAAAGACTCATTGTTGACAATCAGCTGGCACTGTGAATAAGCCTTTCCACAGTTTTAAGAAATTGGTGGAAATCAATTTAAATCTACCTGGCGCTTTTGCAGATTTATCGTTATATATTACTAAGACGCAAACCATAATTCATTGCATCAAGCAATTCCTGCACAAAGAGAGTTGGACATGATGTGCATATGGCAATACAACAGATGAAAGAGAAATTAAGTAATTTCCATAAGGAGATACAACAGATGTGAAATGGATTACTGTAGATTAGCCTATGAAAATTACAATTATAAACATAATCATTATGTTGCATTATTTTGAGATTTTTGAGAGCCATATTTTGCAGAATTTGGCACCATTTGTTAAAGCCCCATTTCCGGCAAAATTTCACTAAAAAAAATTTTTTTAGAAAAAAATACATATGCATTACTCTATTTATTATAAACAATGGAAAAATATCGGCATAAATTTTAGCTTTATGCAAAAGAATAAAAAATATATAATACAGACTACTTCTCATAGGAGATTGCCATTTTCTCGACGAATTCTTCGTTACTAGGCAAATTCAGAAGTTGTAGATTGCATCCGCTGGAATGCTCTCGCTTTTATGTATACTTTATACAGTCAATAATGAATGTGCACCCTCTCTAATGAAATTGGTTTTTGTACATCGCATCTTGCACACTGCGACCGATCGAGTAGCCCCGAGATATGTTTGTTTAGTTGTCAAAATCTTGGTCAGAATAATTTTTTAACAGATTTGAAATAATTCCTATGAAATATTATATTTCACACGTGTCAATACTAGCAATGGAAAATATCATGTCAGCCGTTTTTATGTGTGATAACAGAACCTAAATCGAGGTAAGGCTACTGTAGGCCTAGCCTAGCGGTGTGGGATTAGGCTAATGTTTTAGGTGCCTACTATGTTTCTTCACAGACCCATCGCAAAATCAAACAAAAAAATCCATCCGCATTTATTTTTTGTGTGGAACACAAAAAATCAAATTTCAGTCTTATTTTACATTTTTTTCATGTTCATTTTTCTTGCAATTTTGTATTACATTTATAAATCTTTATAACATTATATAAAAATCAGATATTTCTTAACAACTGAAATCTTGCCGGGAATGGGGTTTTAAGATGCAATAATATATAAAATATGGAATTCAAAATTGTAATTGTTTAATGAAATTTTAATATTATAAAATTCTAAGTTATAATTACTACAGTAAAGTAAATTTACATTTTCTCATCAATTCCTGTTCATAGTGTACATTTACTAGAAAATCAATTTGTTCTAATCTGCTAAAAAAGAGAATAGTTACGATCTGTGTTTCATTTAAATATTTTATTTTGTATTTCAATATTTATTTGATAGTTTTAAAGAGCAATTCAATGATTTTAATATCATTGTCACAGGGTTTTTCTACGCACCTTAAATGAATAAAAAAATTACTGGGTTAATTGTATGTTGAACATGAACTTTATATATTAAATTTCATAACCAGTGTCTACATGGTTTTGAAATAATTCATCTATACTGTACTATCCTACAGACTATAGTATGGTTGAATCATGTACAGATTCATCCATAATTCATCTATACTGTACTATCCTACAGACTATAGTGCGGATGAATCATGTACAGATTCATCCATAATTCATCTATACTGTACTATCCTACAGATTATAGTATGGATAAATAATGTGCAGATTCATCCATAATTCATCCATACCGTACTATCCTAGACTATAGTGCGGATGAATCGTGTGCAGATTCATCCTAATTTATCTATACTGTTCTATACTACAGATCATAATATGGATGAATAGTGTTCAGATTTATACATAATTCATCCATACTATACTACAGAGTGGATGAATCGTCTGCAGATTCATTCATAATTCATCCATACTATACTACACACAACAGTATGGATGAATTGTTTGCAGATTCATTCATAATTCATCAATACTGTACCATACTACAGACTATAGTGTGAATGAATTATATGCAGATTTTATATTTATCTATATTTCTATTTTTGTATTTTAAATATAAGGAGCGAGCCAATGTAGGTGTTTTTCAGCTGTTAGCTCACTTTCGTCACTTCTGTATATTTGTACGCTATAAATAAAAACAACATACGTTTATTGAGTCATAGGCATGTCTTACTGTAGCTCAAAAGTCACGACAAATTTTTACCCATCCTTGATTTTACGAATCCCCAGATTTACGTACACCCTCTGGTCCCATACCATACTTTAAAAAAACAAAGTTCTACTGTAGTTATTTTGATTATTACTACTGTATGTCTTGTGATACAAATATACTTGATTCAAAAGCATTTCTAACCCAACAAGGACATACAGCTGTAGCACCATCATTCTTTACTCTGCTCTGACACCAGCTTACTGATTGTCGTGGGATGAAATTTTAAAAAGTATCATTTCATTACTAACTATAGTTTAAGTAAAAAGTTTGGTATATAGCCTAAGACTACTTCAAATTTTAAAGAACAAAAATAATTGGTTTCAATGTATAGAATGATAGAATTAAACAAATTCAATATATATCTGGTACATTTAACATAGAGTGATGGCTAAGCTATACAGAAGGCACTTCTTCAGCTGCATCATAGGTTTTACAAAAATCATGGGATTAATGAAACAAAAATATCTCTTTCCTAATATTAATAGTGATCTTCCTTTTGAGGCTTGCTACCAATTACAGGAAGCTGTTTCAGACTAACCTTCCCATGACCTACCAAACTACTGCAGACCTTGGCAGCTAATCTATGACAAGTTATGAATTGAAATTCCAGGGGTCACACAACACACAATCCATACATTAATCTCTAATTAATCTTCAAACTTGCCCGCTTCATAACCTATGCTGGACACAAACTGGTGTGTTTTACATCAAAAATAACTTAAATTTGATTTGTGACCATGCATTTTTCCTGCACATCACATTTACTATCTCATCTCATGTATTCTGAAGCTCATTTGATTGTTATGTACCTTGGTATTACATCTTTCCAAGCTCTATCTAAAAAATATA